CTAAATTATTTTAACCAAAGCTCAAAGTCTGCTACTTGTAAACACTGAAAATTTCAACTAAGCTCTAAGATTAATAGGGAAATAGATGGTTCCCAGGGCTGCATTAAAGGAGGCTATTTTAAAAACTGGGTTTAATAAGAAATATTAACAATATGAGGTCTTAAATAAAAAGCGATATTCTTGCATGAATACCTAGTATTTGAGAATATCCTTGAGGCCAGGTATGTCACGTAGCTAACAACAAGTGGGTGGGACAAAATATAAAACAATCAAAACCACACAAATGAAAATGTAGTTATTGGAGTTACATCACCTACTGAGAGCAAAATAGTACACATGTGAAATAAAGTTCACACAGATGCGTCAGCTGCAGCTAAAAAAATACTGTGTAAGAAATTCAGAGGTAAAAAGAGCAAATAAAGTAAACAGAGAAAGCCCCAAAGTACTCAGGAAAACTCTTCTCCAATCCATGTTCTCCTGGCAAGGGGACCAGCACAAGGGGATCTTGCTGCCACCTGACCACTGCTGTACTGCTCTCTTTATCCAGTTTATTCTTGGGATCATTTCAAGGTGCTCACATATCTCTATTGATCTGCTCTCAACCTTCAGATAGATGGAAGCAGAGTACAGGAAGGAGAAATACTAAAAATAAAAAGCTATGCTGCCCAGTGTCTGCAAGCATCATCCTTGTCCTCCTCTACTTAAAACTTGATTCAGTTGTCACAGTCTTTTCAACAACTATAATAAACAACGAAGCGTCCAATGGTTTATAAAAGTACTAACTGCAAAACAACAGTGTTTTTTAAAAATATGAGTATCACCATAACAAGAAATCAGGGATTCATAGTGCAGGAAACAGTTTCTGTTAATTCTAAAAATCACTGCTAGTTTTATACCTGATGTGGATAAGCATCGCCTGAACCCATCTGTCTTTTGTTCTGGTCAAAAATAATCCATAGCTGGCTGTCAAATTCTGATTCATATAACAATTCACAAAGTAGCGGGCAGCTTGGAGTTACTTCCCCACTCTTGGGCTACAGAAGAAAGAATGATTACTTGACATGGTTTACATATGATTTCTAATCCTGTCGCTCATATAAGACTTTTTTAATAAAAAATAATGCTTTCATACGGTAAATAATTTTTGGAACATGGAACATTCAGTATTCTAGCACTCAGAAAAGGCACTTCTCTCATTATACAAACTTTTAAAAATGTAAACCTAGCTATTTATTCATTAATAAAGCAATATATGTTCTTCAGGACCTCTTACTACTTTACAAAACTGAAATTTGACAATTCACTGAAATCAATAATCTTTTTAACATTAAAACCAAATTCATATTTTGATTCAACAACAGTGCCTCTGAAATCTTACTGATGCAACACAAACTCTTCA